CGCCCAGTGTCAGTTTTCACAGCCGTATAAGTTTTTCGGTAATAACGAATTCAAACATCGCGACGTAGATTTAGGTCTTTTTTCGGTCGAAGGTTGCTTTAAAACCGAAAAAGAGGTGGTGGGTATTGATCCACTTTACACGGGTCTTTTCTAAGACTTAGTGCATGGGGAATATCTGGTCCGTGGTTGACTTACCACGTCTAAAGCCAAAATGTTAAGATTAAATCAGATTATTGACAGTGGGCCACCATTCGTTCGGAGGCAGCTTAGCGAAACCTCTAAGCCCTTCCGATTTTTGTTAAAACAACCTTGGAGTAGCCTGGCCAAATATCGTTATACTATACAGCGCGAAGTTAATAATACCAAGCTGGATAGTATATAATATGATATATCATATGATTATAAAAGTAGGTTGTCACGAAATTTAAATTCATATGCCTAGCAGCCTAAAAATACATTTCGTAACAGAATGTGTTCACATCTTTAAAGAGGTCAATGAACGCTTAACAGTAAACAGATTGATAAATATGTGTGTGGGAATATATCTTATTGTATATGTATGTATTTAACAAAATCACACACCCGCACTTGTGATAGGTTCTCCTGCTAAAAATGAAGCGCGCGTTTGTTTGTATTTACATACATACACACCTACATATGTACATACATATGTGCCTACTTAACAGTGAGAAAGCTATTTATGCCACAAGTTACCGAATTGTGTCGCACCCCAAGGTCGGGTCATTGAACTTTTCCAACATTAACATCACAAACCGTCTATTCAACATTTTAGATCGGGAGCGCTTTACTTTTGTAACAAATCCGATGTTAGCGTGTAAGGACATTCACCTCGATTTTAGCTACTAAATTCTGTACTCAATAGCCAATATGCAATATGCCTATATGAATTTTGAGTGAAATTTTACTGTTGCGTTGTGCTTATGCGCCTATTCCCTTTCTTCTCATTGCTTTGTTGGTATTTCGATAGTATGAGTAATATTTCGGGAGAAGAGAACATGGAAGGACCTCTATTGTTTAGCGTATGAGCGACAGTGAGAGTGTGGTGAACGTGGTTGTGTTGTAGAGTGGTGAGTAGATAAAATGAAAAGCTTTGCAACAAACAGCAGCTGCAAAATAGCTAAACTTTAAACTTCAAAGCAGTGGTTGGCGTTTCATAACACAATTGTGACGTCGCAGCTCATACGTATTCTCCAATTCTCTTGCTCTTTGGAGTATTTTATGAAAGTTAAAGGCTTTTAATGATACGCAATATTTTTGAAGTTGTGAGATGTATTAAAGAAAAAAATATTTTATTTATTTATTTAATATAACTAATTCGAAAATATAAAATCTTATAATTAAGACAAAGAAAAGCACTAGCTGTCAGAGCATTCAGCGAAAAAAATATTTTAAAATAAATTTAATAAATCTAATTACTCTCTGCTCTCACTAGCACACTCTCATATTTACCTTTGCCAACCCCTGCTTTAAAATGTGCAGTGTTGCTGTTGAGAAATCAGAAGCCCCATTTTTCACTAGTAAAAAGTTGGAAGTTCAATATCTGAATGGGGCCCTTCTTCATGACAGCACCTCCAAGCGAATTTCTGTCCTGAAAAAAGCGTCTATAAAAAAAATTAGCCGCTTGGTGCTGATGATCGGTGCAATAAAGCTTAAGCGCCCGTCCGTTCATGCTAAGAAAAACTTTCATTTGAGCCCCAGAAAAACTTTCATTTGCAAATGAACGAAAATTTCACTGAAAAGTGTTTACAAATCTGATTAAGGGGCACACCTAAAGTAATGGCCTAAAAACAGTTGATTTTTAAGAATTTTTATTAAAAAAAATACTTTATCAATTATTTCAAAATTTTTAGAATATATTTATAAATGTTTCAAAAATAAAAAGTGAAATTTATGCAGAAAAAAAAATAAAATATTTTTTTTTAATTATGGACGACGCGAGAAAAAATGGTCCTGCACTACTACAGTAATTCCGGCCTTCTCCGTGGATGAAATCTAAAAAAAAAATTCTCGATAAGATAATATTGTCTGCCCAATAACCTACGATAAAAAAAAAAAAAACAAAAATTGACAATATGGTGGCGTTTTAAAAAAATAGTCGAATTTAACCCATAATTTTGGTCGTTTTTGGCCTACCAAAATCGATTTTTTGATCAGATCAAAAATCGGTAGGTCATTGTACGGATGACTATATATAGATCATGTAAAAAAAATCGATAGTGATCGGTTCATTTGTTTTTGAGTAATCACTGCAGAAAATTCGGAAAATGCTGTTTCGAGAAAAACGCGTTTAAAGATAAAATGATCGTTTTTACTCGTGGCTAATGAGACTCTCTAGCTGCCGAGCGGCTGCTCTTTAAATTGCTATAACTCAAAAACTATTTGAGATATCGATTTGAAATTTTAATATGTTATTTTTAAAGGTGTAATTTACCGAAATATGTTTTTAAGTTTCACACTAGGTGTGCCGCTTAAATAAAAGTGTTGAAATGTTGTTTTTGTCACTTCCACTTTTAATTTTTTCTGAATTCGGTGTAAGTGCAAAACTTAAGTGTAATCCCTTGTAGAGTATATAAAGAAACGGGGCTCTCTTTTTGTTTAGCCTCTATGTCCTTTGGTCTGTGGGTTTTTTGTTATCGGTTGTCAAAATTATTCATTCAAAACTCCGATTAATGACAACTTAAACAATAAGTGTAATCGAACATATGACCACAGCTGTGAGCTCGAACTGGACACAGACGCTAAGTTTTTCTTTGGAAGTTTAACTACGATGTAAACTTTCGTTAAGCAACACCGAAAGCTCCGTCAGAATCTAATACGAGCTGAGTTAGAGTTTTCCCCCGCTGGCATACGTTAATGACATCATTGAGCTCAACAACCGCCCTGTGAGTTCGTTCTCCAAGCTGGATAAGGAAGGGAAGCGCATGGGTCCGGTAGTGAAGAAAAGCGCGATGAAATATCGCTTGCCTTTAAACAAACAGTTCTCGCATTCGCGATGCTGCTGCCGCGTCACTGTTGACAATCATAACTTTGAAGTTGTAGTTAACTTCGTCTATCTTAGAAACAGTATTAATACCAACAACAATGTCAGCCTAGAAATCCTACGCAGATTCACTATTACCAACAGGTGCTGCTTTGGACTGATTAGGCAATTGGAAAGTGAAGACTTCTCCCGACGAACAAAGATCAAACTCTACAAGTTCCTCTTCATTTCCGTGCTGCTATATGAGTCGCCGTAAGGGATTTTGGAGGGAAAGGTTTTGAGTAAGGTTTATGTTGCTTTGCGCGTAGGAAACGACGAATACCTCACAGAATGGAGCGATGAGCTGTACGAGATGTACCGGGAAATCGACATTGACATTCTTCAGCGAATTAAGATACAGCGTTTACGCTGGCTAGGTCATGTGGTCTGCATTAATAAGAATATCCAGCTCTGAAAGTTTTCTATGCAGTACCCGCTGGTGGAAGCAGAGGAAGAGTAAGACCTACGCTCTGTTGAAAAGACCAGGTAGGAAAGAGCCTGGACGTATTTGGTATTTCAAATTCGTGCCGAACTGCGTAAAGAAAAAATGAATGGCGCGCTGTTGTTATCTCGGCTCAAATCGCTTAACCGGTGTCTACGCTAGTAAAGAACAGTTTCGATTTTTAATTTCTATATTCTGACATTTAAACAATTTTTATTATTTTTAAAGTGAAATATCAATACTAATTTTTCTAACCCAATTGAATGAGTTAAAGAAGAAAGAAAGTTCGAAGAAAGGATAAGGTAGCGTAGAACCGACTATTCAATACTATTAAAATTATGATATTTAATATTTCTCTTCGAACATAGCCCATACAGGGTGTGCCATCTTTTGAGATAGCATTTGAAACTTGTATGATTTTCGATTCAAACAACTCTTTCTGTTTCTGATGCAAAACAGTTGCTCTTTTTTGTGAATTTTTCATCACGCCTTAGTGGTAATATTGGTAATAAGTGATACTTCCCGGCGAATATTGGCTTTGAGCTGAGCTATGTTCTGCGGCTTACCGATGTAAACTTTGCTCTTAGCAGGAAGAAGTTCGGCGGCGTCATATCGAGTGAGCTTGGCGGCCAGTCGCAATCGCCGTTTTTTTTTTTTTTTTTTTTTTTTGATTTTATTTTTTTATTTTTTAGTCTTTTAATTTGTTNTGAGCTATGTTCTGCGGCTTACCGATGTAAACTTTGCTCTTAGCAGGAAGAAGTTCGGCGGCGTCATATCGAGTGAGCTTGGCGGCCAGTCGCAATCGCCGATTTTATTTAGATTTATTTAATTTTATTTTATTTTTTTATTTTTTAGTCTTTTAATTTGTTTTTTTTTTTTTTTTTTGATATGAAGCGATCGAATATCGTGCGAAATACCGCCTTTGAATCGCGGTTAGTGTCTACTGTAGCTCTGTCCTGTTATAACCAGAAGGGCGTCATGTCGTTTTCAGTAATTTCGGGAAACACAAAGTCACGCGACATCGCTCTGTATCGCGCACCATCGATCTTAACGGCGTTGTGAGTCTCGTTGTCGAAAAAAAAAAATACCGCCTGACGATCTGTTCGACCGAGACGCTGTACCAAGCAGTCACTTTTTGAACAATTTTGCCTTCTAACTGCACCATTCAAAGTGAGATGCGCTTCACCGTTCATTATGATTTTGAACCAAATCTTTTATATCACCTTGGAGCAAGTTTTCGTTTCGGTGCCTCGGTGTTAGTTGACACCGCATAGACTGAAATGACATGTCGAGCAAGCCATACGTCAAAAAACGGTGTAACTGTTAAAGCTTCAAATACTAACCCAAAAAAATTCGCACCCTGTAAAACGAATTGGAAAAATATAAAATCTGCTCTTTAGGTTTGCAAGAACACACCTGACACAATTGATAAAAATGTGAATAAACAAGGTAAAGAATAAAAAAAATTTACAATTTACCGGTTTATGAATTAGCATAAATGAAAAACAAAGCAATAAAGAAAACAACGAAAGTAACCGTCAAATGTGGTCTGAAAGCGAAGCAAATAAACCTGTTGTGTTAGAATTTCTACTGGCAAAATATCTCCGATAAATGCTTATTATTTTGTAAATAAACGAATATTACTACAACAATGCACACACTTAATTTTCGTTTTATATCATTAAAAATAATTTAAATTAATTCAAACCAGCTACGAGTAAATAGTAAACAGGTTAACTAATTAAAATCCGATGCTGGCAATCTGAGTGCGATCGCTTGTTGATCCAGTGCCTGGTGTGAAGTTGAAGCTTCAGCAATCTATTCTACGCTGTGAAGTTATTTATTTAGCAATATTATTTTTTCCATTTTTACACTTGAAAAATGAATGTTAAATCCACTACTTTTCCTCTCGTTAACCCGCTTTCGAAGCCAATACTCTACTCGTATTGGCGCAGTTCCTGTTCGTGGCGAGTGCGCATCGCACTCAACCTGAAGGAAATACCCTACGACATCAAGCCAATCAGCTTAATCAAATCGGGCGGTGAGCAACATTGCAATGAATATCGTGAAGTAAATCCCATGGAACAGGTGCCGGCTTTGCAAATCGGTAAGAATGGAAATGCTAAGAAAATTATCGATAAACATAAAACACATTTATTTGTTTACTAATTACCTTTTTCGCCCACAGATGGTCATACACTCATCGAATCGGTTGCCATAATGCATTATTTGGAAGAGACGCGTCCTCAACGTCCACTATTGCCTCAGGATGTGCACAAACGGGCCAAAGTACGTGAAATAGTCGAAATCATATGTTCCGGTATACAGCCATTGCAGAATCTGATTGTATTAATCCATGTTGGGGAGGAGAAGAAGAAGGAATGGGCTCAACATTGGATTACACGCGGTTTTCGTGCTGTCGAAAAGGCGCTCTCCACCTCGGCTGGCAAATATTGTGTAGGCGATGAGATTTCTATGGCTGATTGCTGTCTAGTGCCACAGGTCTTCAATGCAAGAAGGTAAGTGCCGATTAATTGAATTGGAGTTTATTACCCATTTAAGTGTGCTGCAGTAATGAGACAGTGGGAATGGCATTTACATATTTATACTATATCTAAAATGCTTTTGGAGATTTATAGTAAGCCGAGATATTGAAAGACTATTATTTTATCAGTAGAGGCAATTTTTAATAATTAATTTTTCAAGCATGTTATAACCGAAGGTACAAATATTTAAGAGAGAGAGAGACCGAACTAAGAATTAATACTTAATACTGCTAGTTACATTTTATATATTTTAAATATTTTTAACATTTGTATTAAACAAATTAACGATTACTTTTGACTAAAAAAGAAAAAGCTCCTAGATAGTTTTCTGCGTATATATAAGAATCGGAAAGTAAAATACGGCATTTCCACGAGAGCCCAATTACCTGTTTCGCTCTCTCAATCGTAATTCGCACTCCAAATACATGACGAATTATTTAATTCGCCAGACAAAATTTCACGAGCGAATTACAGTGAAAGTGGCTAATTCGCTCTCAATTGCCATGCGAATCACGACCAATTCTTATCGAAAGTTTATCAGAACCAACTGACAAATCAAAATAACAAAGATGAAAATCATTACAGAAAACACTAATACATAAACATTTATTTCAAACCAAACACATTTGCCTATTAAAAAAATAAAAAAATTAGAAATTATTAAAATCTAAAATCTTTCATTTTCCATTACATCGAACAAACTAGCGAAAACGAAAGCGAAAGCGAAAACTGTCAAATTGCATGTCGTGTGAATGGCGGTAATTCGCATTCGTAATTGTGAGGACGAACAATGTATTTCACGATGCCGTAGAAAGGTCGTATAAATTACACCTATAGGGCCTATTCAGTAACTTTTATCGATACGATTTGTCGGATCGCAGATTTGTGAATTTTGTCGCTTGCACTAACGATTATGAGATTCACTAACTCATTTTTAACGATAATCGACAATGTACATTTCCTTTGTATTGATATGGAGAAAAGGTGAAACAAAACAACAAAATATGTGCATATCACAAAAAGGAATAACAGAAGCGATACAACTTCGTTACACCAATTTTTTTTTTTATTAAATGAATTGCAATGGATTACAAAGTTTACCAAATCGAAGCATGTGTTGGTTTTCACTTTCAAAACTACGCTGAATGACTCATCGCCCTATAAATGAGCATTTACCGCCGAAATCTCGATTGAGATTACGATCACATATCTATGTGCAAATATAAGGAGCTGGCGGTCGCGGTAGTCGAGTGGTTAGCATTGCGTACTGACATTCGGAAGGCCCGAGTTCATATCTCGGTGCCACCAATATCCAAAATTTATAGAAAATGTCCACCCCTTCGAGTGTATTTCGGACATGAAATAAATGCTGCTCGTAAAAAAACCAACAGCGATTCGGATACGGCTTAGTATAAATTGTAGCTTCCTCCATTTGTTCGAAAAGCATTAAGACGCAAAACCACAAATAGGAGGAGGAACCTGGCCGAAAAATCGCTGCAGCGCCAATTATACTAAAATAATATCAGATGTACAACTTTGCTTCCGCCGTTTTCCGATAGGTGGCTGTACCGGCTGGGGCTGGTTGAAATACGTAGATGATAATGCCTTTAAAGTGAGTGTGGACAGTGCCTAACGAATTGTCATCGCCGTTTCAGTGACAGTTTTTCTTGTTTTCGTGTTATTCACGCTCGAAAATGTCCGTTTATGTGCATAATTCCCGCCATTTATGGGAAGTTTTACTTTTCGGTTACAATTAAAAAAAAAAAAAATGCAGCTGAAGCGCATCGAATGCTCTCAGAAACTTAAGGTGATGCTGCTCTGAGTGAAAGAACGTGTTGGGAGTGATTTCAACGTTTTAAAAATGGTGATTTCGATGTCGAAGACAAACATAGTGGTGAAAGAGAAAAAAACCTTCAAAGAAGAACAACTAGAAGAATTGCTTGATGAAGAAGCTCTTAAAACCGGGTGAAACCATCACAGGAGATCGCTACCGAACGCAACTGATGCGCCGTAGTCGCGCGTTAAAAGAAAAGCGGCCACAATATCAAGAGCGACATGGCAAAGTCATCCTCCAACACGACAATGCTCGGCCTCATGTCGCAAAAGTGGAAACGCTGAAATGGGAAGTCTTACCCCACCCGCCGTATTCCCCAGATGTCGCCCCTTCTAACTTCCACCCAGTCCGTTCGATGGCACACGGCCTGGCAGATCAACATTTTCAATCCTTCGAAGAATTGGAAAAATGAATTGCTTCATGCATAGCGTCAAAAGAGGACTCTTTTTTTCGAGCCGGGATCCGAAAATTGCCGGAAAGATGGGAGAAAGTTATCGCTAGCGAAGGACAATACTTTGAATAATACATCTGTAAGCACTTTTTCGCAATAAAGCTTTTAATTTTGGAAAAAACGGCGGAAGCAAAGTTGTACACCATAATTGAATAAATATTTATTCTCACCATTTGCATGCAAATGGATTGAATGGTATCCATGGCAGTTGACATAGGCTTCTTCATAATTTTCGGGGCTCATGATTCACACATGAGCGCCACAATGGTGACTGCAACAAATGGTTACGAGAATGTGGCAACAACTTGCGGCTCTATTTTGTTCATGGGAAATCTAAACGTCGCAGAGAAAATCGAACGGTGGATTGGGTCTGTTACGCGATGGACGCAACGACTGACTTATAAATATTCTCCATTGATCTCCATCATCCAGTTGCAAAGAATCGGCAAGCGGTTAGAATCTTTAAGCCTTGCAATAATGTTAAGACTGAAAAAACACTTAAAAGTTATTTTATTATCAGTTTCTTTGTACGTATTGCTGTTATTCCTTGGACTTTTAATTGGCTATCATGTGGAGCAGCGAATTCTTCAACTAAATCTGGCGTTAATCTATATGGAATCTGAAACTCAGTTGTATTCAAGTAGAAAGGATCTTCGGCTTCAAGAAGCAAACTTCTATTGAACGATAGATGGTACGCTGCCTCCTCATCTTGGGATAAACCGTTTGCCAAATACACAAAAGCTATTTTTGTTTATTAAATTTTCTTTTTTTTTAAATCGAATCACAAGGACATAGAGAATATGCCTCTGACTATAAAATTTAAGGATAACGATCTGTTATGTCAACTGTCTTTATATTTGAGTTTTAAATATTATCAACACCTTTTTTGATTGTTAAAATATTTTTTTTTTAAATTTTTTGTGATTAAGCATTTCCTGCTAAGTTCTTAGAAATATATTATCGTTGTTGTTGTATCCGGAGAAATATTCCTCTGAGTAATTTTTGAGGCATGTTGTGGGAGTCTTTGGCTTTGGCCGGATAAAAAATCCCGGTGTCTTACCACGGGTAGATTCTTGAACCCCTAAACCAGAAATTAAGTGGGTTTGGTTCGTCTCGTTACTAAATTAACTCGGTTTTAGTTTAACATTGTTGATAGATTGAAATAGGAAATCTCTTAACTTTGAGAGAATTTCTCAAAATTAATAGTATTTATATTAATGTTTACTGATTATTGTTTTCATTACATTTCATTCAACAGATTCCATGTCGATCTACGTCCTTACCCCATTATCTTGCGCATCGATCGTGAATTGGAGGCTAACCCCGCCTTCCGTGCCGCCCATCCCTCCAACCAACCTGACTGTCCACCGGAGCTGCCAAATAAATAGAATTTCCCGCCAACAACTGCTAAGCGCCGCAAAACCAAAAAATGATTGCGTACACAACAACAGCAATAATAATAACAACAACAACAACAGCAACAACAACAACAACAACATTAACTACATAAAAAATTAAGCACTAGAGAAACGCGGAAACCCACGAGCCAAACAATCCAAGCAAATGTGGCCCTGTCAAGCAGTTGAACCAATTTAACCAAGAAAAAAAAAAACAAAACAAAAAGAAAAACCAAACCAACAAATTCTACATGAAGTTGGAAAATGTTTGAAAATGAGAGAAACGTACAGAGAAAATACAAAATTTTTAATAGATATTCAAAGGAAATATGAAAGGTGACAATTTGTATTTGAAAAAGAAAAAGAAAAAACTTATACATAAAAAGCGTTAAATAAAGCACAGCGAGAGAGTGATCTGCGATTACTCCAAAGAATATAAACAAATTGAAAACTCAAAATTGTGAAAGTAAAACTTAATGTGAAAGCTAATTAATCATTTGGAATGTGAGAAAGCATTAAAAATTTAAATTATTTGGCAACAATTGTGAAAAATATCTAAAAGATATATTTACCTATTTTATAATTACACACACACACACATACACATAAACACACACACACACACATACACAACTAACATTCATTTAAACGCTAAGCATTACTTTTCATAAAAAGCAAAACGTAATTAATATGAAAATTTTGAAAATAAAAATCGAAAACCCAAAAAAAATTTAGAGATGTGAAATTATGTACGAAAAGCAAAAAATGAAATTCAGGGATTTTTAACTATGCATTCATATTTATCTATTTTTAAAGCAACTACATATATTATATGTTGAAATGACCAACACATACGAACACAAATACAAATAAAAATATACATACGTGTATGTATGTATATGCACATCTGTAAGTAAGCCACTAATCAATAAAAATAAAAGAAGAAGTAAAGACAAAAAATAAACTACTTAGTAACGAAATATACAAAACATAAATAAAAGAGTACAAAATGCAGTAAATTAATTCATTATGAAACATGAAAAGTACATTAAAGCTTAACAAAAATATTTACTTCCTAAAATGCATGTATTTAAAACACAAATTAGAATAAAAGCCAAGCAAAAATAAAAAAAAAGGAAACAACTCTATATATAACACATATGTAACAAATAGTTGAAGAACAAATTGAAAAAAAAAAATTTAATTAAGAATATACCATGATACAAAAAACAGGGTAGTTTCACTCAAAATTCCTTTCAAAAATCGGAGCCATCTGACATAAAATGATTTTTTGACTTTTGTTTTACTTTTGTGCTACCAATTTCAATTTTTTTTTCTCATTTAATAAATTTTCCAACTTTTTTGAAATGAAAAAAATACATTACAAAAAATTCAAAACCTTTCAATGGTAAACAAAAATTTAAAGAAAAATAAAACGTACTCACAAAAAATTTAAAGGTTTTACGTTGTATTTATTGAAATGTAATGGAAATAAAAATATTTTCAGACTACTTAGAATTTTTTTTTTTATAAAAATATATATGAAATTTTTAAATATTTTTAAAGTGGCAATTCCTTGATGTTGAAATGAAAATAAGATATACAGGCCTATTCTCACTGTTACCAGTAAAGTAAATTTCTTTTACCTTTTTTAACACCCGAAATTGAATTTGGTATTCTGGTGAACTGGTTACAATGTTTGAAAAAAATTTGGCAGCACTGCTTTTTTCGTCCTTGTCAAATTACATTTGCCAGTTGATAAAGTAAAAAGTAATATACTCACATCGAAATGGAAGACGGTGCACAACAAAATAAATAAGTTTTATTTATTTGTTTATTAAATCATAAATATTTGAACCTAATTAAGGAAAATATGCCTGGATAACAAAAAAAAACCTGAATGCAAACGTTATCTTACAAATCAAAGGGCCATTTTTTAGTCTCGAAAACTTCTTAAAATACGGCTTTTTGTACTTTTTTCTTCATCTTCAATGAATTCCAGGCTTAAACTATGCCAACCCATTCTGATTTTTTATTTTTTCTCAAACTTACAACACAAAATCAAACAGCAGATATTTTTGTTACCTCCTATTTCGCTGGTAACAAAATTTACAGGGTAACAGTGAGCTCAGAATACGAAATAATAACAAAATTTACAAAATGGTAAATTTTAATACCTAGGGAAATTTTGTTACCTCGACAGAATAGGCCTGATAAAGTCAAAATACGATTTTCTGTCAATTTTCTATTGAGTTTCACTTAACCTTTCTTTTTTTGTATCATGGAATATACTTGCAATAAACACATATATGTGCTAAAGTTGTGAAATGCGTTAAATCTCCAATGCATTAATAATAAATTAAATGCTTTATTTTTATACTGTAAATGCAAACAAAAAAAAATTATAGGCATTTGTTTCAAAATCTAGTGATTTCTTAATTTCTCGTGAATTATTTCCAGAAAATTTCGCCATATTCAACATCGTTTATAAAATAATAAATTTTGTACGCGACTTTGAAGATGGATATACAAGGTGTGTTCAAAAAATATCGCGAGTTTTGTGTTTTTTTTTTCAAAAATTATTTATTTATTCATGAATATCTATTTTGTCCCCTTCAAAGTAATCCCCATGAGATATTACACACTTCCAATCTTCGAAGCACTTCAAAAAATCAAATTTTTTTTATCTTGTTCAGCTCCTCCTTCGATGGCATCTTTATCTCGTCAATCGTAGCGTAACGTCGTCCTTTCATGGGCCTCTTCAGTTTAGGGCCAGATCTTGGGAATACGGTGGCTGCGGCATCATTAGTGTGTTGTTTTTGGCCAAAAGTCGCGTGAGCTAACGCCCCTGCGTGGTGCAAAATGCAATTTTTGTTCTTCCACATATCCGGGCGTTTCTGACGGATTGCTTCGTGCAAATTGCGCATAACTTGCAGGTAATACTCCTTATTTACCGTTCTACCCTGTGGCAAGAACTCATGATGCACCACGCCCCTGCAATTAATTCTTTCGTCTGCTGTTGAAGTGCTCGGCCGTCCGGCACGCTCTTCGTCGTTCACATCTTCTCGGCCTTCTGAGAACATTTTGTACCACCGATAAACGTTGCTTCGGTCCAAGGTAGCTTCTCCGTATGCCATAGTCAACATTCGGAATGCTTCCGCGCGCTTAATCTCGTTTTTCACACAAAATTTGATACAGGTTCTTTGATCCATTTTTTTGAATAGGTAAAAATCGAAGACAATCCAAAATACATGCAAGCAAAGCAGCTGTCAACAATTAAGTGAACATTCAAAATGGCCGAGCTTGTCGACATAAGTCACAGACATGGGTACCAACATAACGCCACGAAAAAATCGAAATTCGATTATACGTAACCCGCGAAAATTCAAAATTCGCGATATTTTTTGAGCACACCTCGTATTGTAATACGATTTTTAAACACTTTTAACGTTATTTATTTTATTATAACTCATGTATGTATGTATGTATGATATATATACATATGTATATATGTATATATAAGAGGCTTTGTAGTGAAAGACTGACGGATAAATCGACGGTCAAAACCAACTTTCTTCGAGACTTGCAGGATATGTTGGGCATATAACGCATGCACCGGTTGAGAAAGGATTTTTCGGATTTTAAAGTGGGGAAGATTTGTTTATAATTCCATTTTCTTGAAATTAACATGTTTTAAATAAACAATCTAATAAAAATCCTTTAACTTATTTCACGAGGAAAGCTGTATAATACTCCATTTGAGCGGTATAAATAATATTTTGTATTTTGATTTGACAGAAGTAGAAAATTAAAGTGTAGTTCGGTTCGATGTACCAATGAATATAAAAGCTTAAAATCAATGTCAAATGAACATATACATTTTTGTTGCAAATTATCAAAAACAATACAAAGTTCAAAATAATTTAATGACGTCATCAAACCAAATTACTATGGTCTGCATCCAGTTCTTAAGTAATAAGCAAACTCCATATGAAAAAACCCCTTAAACTTATGGTTAAGAAAATGTTTGCCCTCATATGAACTTTGAAGGGACTGCTGCTCGTTAGAGTTAGAGAATCGATAACGTCATATCTTCTTTCGATAAATGTTCCCCTTTTCATAAGAAAACTAATATACGAACATTTGTCAGCCACTCATTTCTTAAAAAAAATTAAGTTTTTTTTTTCAGAAGTAGAGTTCACCGAGTTTTCGAAGCAAAGTTTTAAATGCCAAAAACGCGCAAAATTAGGTGCGGAGTCAAAGCTCAAATTAATGGTTGAGCTGAAGATGTGGCCCAGAAGTTGGGACTTGGCAGATACCTTGATAGTAATTTAAATACATAAAAATAATATTCAAGCAGCTCTCTCTATACAGATATTTTTAAACAAACTTTCAACCACAAATCTAATTTACTTTGTTATATTTCACCAGCTGATAGCAGTGGGTAGCTTACCTTGAAAAAAGTCCGTTTCTACTACAATTTTCTATCTTAAGAAATTATATGCCATTGTTTACTAGCTAAAGAACTGCATACAGGCCTTTTGAGCAGAGTTTCACACATAAAAATGAAGTGAGGAAATATTAAAATCAACTTGCATACCTAAAAATACGATGTCCCATAAATAAGGCTTCGAAGCCCTAAATAAACCGTTACAAGATATTAGAAATAATAAATATCAAATGGAAAGGGTTATTATATTGTTAGCAGGCGATTTCCGGCATACTCTACCAGTGGTGCAATTCAAAAGCATGAGTTCACTGGAAAAACATTATAAACAAGTGTTGAAATACTCTTAAACTTATTCGAAGGGATCGCCTATCAGTATAAATCCATCGATTCAGTTATAAACATAGACGATGCCATTTATTATCCAGTAGAGTTCATGAATAGTCTAAAGTCCCCGTTCCCCCAACTCACATATTGAAATGTAGAATTAGAGCACGAATTATGTTACAGCGAAATATAAATCCATATAAATCCAGCAAAAAATGTGCAATGGCACCAGATTACAGGTGAAAGTATTGCATCGAACTGTAGTCCTGCTCATAGTAAAATATTGCCACTTGTCATTTAAGGGAGTTCAGTTTCCCATCAAATTATAATTCGCAATATCCATGAACAATGCACGAGGTCAAACTATTAAAGTAATAGGAGCATACTTGAGAGAAAGTTGTTTCTCTATGGCCAGTCGTATACAGCGTGCTCCAGAGTAAGCTTTCAAGGTAGCCTGGTGAATCTAACATCACAATGAAATACAAAAATATTGTTTACAATACAAGTTTATGTACTCGTATATAAGCACTTTCTTTTATTTTCCAAATTTCATATAACAATTTAATTAATACATAGAATAATGTACAACTTTGCTTCCGCCGTTTTTTTTTCCAAAATTAAAAGCTTTATTGCGAAAAAGTGCTTACAGTTATATTATTCAAAGTATTGTCCTTCGCTAGCGACAACTTTCTCCCATCTTTCCCGCAATTTTCGGATCCCGGCTCGAAAAAAGGAGTCCTCTTTTGACGCTATCCATGAAGCAATACATTTTTCCAATTCTTCGAAGGATTGAATATGTTGATCTGCCAGGCCGTGTGCCATCGAACGGAATAGGTGGAAGTCAGAAGGGGCAACATCTGGGGAATGCGGCGTGTGGGGCAAGACTTCCCATTTCAGCGTTTCCAGGTACTTTTTGACCACTTTTGCGACGTGAGGCCGAGCATTGTCGTGTTGGAGGATGACTTTGTCATGTCGCTCTTGATATTGTGGCCGCTTTTCTTTTAGCGCGCGACTAAGGCGTATCAGTTGCGTTCGGTAGCGATCTCCTGTGATGGTTTCACCCGGTTTTAAGAGCTCGCAGTAAATCTTTGAAGGTTTTTTCTCTTCCACCACCATGTTTGTCTTCGACTTCGAAATCACCATTTTTAAAACGTTGAAACCACTCCCTACACGTTCTTTCACTCAGAGCAGCATCACCGTAAGTTTGTGAGAGCATTTGATGCGCTTCAGCTGCAGCCAGCCGGTTCACCTGCCTATCGGAAAACGGCGGAAGCAAAGTTGTATATATATATCCGACATATATATATATATATATTATAAAATACATCTGGAAAAGCCAACTTGAGGATTAATTGATTTATATAAGCCTTAAGACTCTAGTTTTTTGTGCAAAATATGGTGTAATGCTTTCTGTGCAATGCCCACGAGGGGAAATAGACAAACCTGGATTTTCTTCTACACTTTGGGCTACAGCAGAATATTTTCAGTTCCTCTTGAGTGAGGGCTCGTATTTTATTCTTCACATCACTAACTTGTCTCAACAGCTATTGTAGATTTTTCCCACAAATTTGTGTATTGCAGTACGACAGGGTGCCTCACGATGGCCGAAAAATGTTTTAGTTTTACGAACCATCTCTATCAGGTTCTCACCAGTTTTATAGTGAACGATTAGCGTGTATCGTTCTAGTTTTATTACTTGTATTACAGCATCAAAAGTGACATCTACCGGAAGAGCAGCTTATTCAAATTAACACCTCGTCTTTGAAAACCCTTTATAATTATGTATTAGTTCTTAAAATTTCATTTACTTTGATGTTGTAACGGTTGAAGTTGCATATTTTTTATATTGAAATTCTCTGCGAAGAGTCAGAAAAATTGAAAACCTCTTTTCTTGTGTTTTAAGAAGTTGCACTGCCTGTTCAAATTTCTTTTAAAATATTTCTTCTTGGTAGAGAAATCGGCATACTCCAGTCGATGTTTATAAGATTGAACATAATAACAGAAAATACTAGTTTTCATTGAAATTTTTTGATAAAACAGCCTTTTAATATTGTCACACATGTACATACATACATAAAAAGTAAATATTGAAAATGTTAGTATCGAAATCATACCACTCTAATTACTCGAAATTGTACATTAAAGCAACAGCTTTCTTCAGTGTAAAAGAATCTTCAAAGTAAATAATAAACATAAATCGAAGCGATGAAATAAGTGATATGATGGTATATGTATGTACGAGTATTTGTAAGATTTTTTTCTAGCGCTGATAATTAACATTCCGTAATAAATTTATACATGCATATATGTATGTATTTCATGTGTTTTATGTATGTATTGTGTACACCGAATTATTGAAAAATACAAAAAAAATACTCATGCACCATAAAAAAAGAAAATATTTTAATGCAAATAGATATTACTGTATAAAGATTTATGCAAACAACAAAAAAAAAAAAATAAATAAATAATAACAAAATAGTATTTAATATGAAATTAGCAGCAAAATGCATAATTATGTAATTAAAATAATTAAAAGTTCAAAGTATTTCCATTTTCAAAACTAAACTTTCTGCAAACAAATAAAAAAAAACATTGTCATAGAAATACCAAATTTTAATGAAATAAATAAAAAGCAACCATTTTCTTTAACACTCAATATTTGAATCAGCATTTTTTTTATTTGGTTGGCTGTACACATCAGCAGCTGATCATAATGAGGTTGTGGAATCGAGAACAAATTAGCAGTGAAACCCATGCAAAATGAGAACAAAGATTGAGAGGGTAATGTAGTTGTTATTTACCTTCAGGAGAGCTAAATATGTTATTGTTGCTTTTAGCATAGTTTTCTTTCAAGTTCAAAGTCTGTAATTAGCTGATCTTCATTTAACCCACGTCTTTCGATGAATGCTACCGGATAACGGTCATAATAATATGACTCACCTTCGCTCATCTTAATCTAGATACATAGAATTTGCATAGCGCCGATACAGATCAATGAATGTTACCTATTTACCTAAACGGAGTTAGGTCGCCGAAAGGGGTTAAGCCCTTGGGAGGATAAAATTCGCGTCCATTCCAGTGCGTAGAACCGGCTGTCGTGAGAAGAGATGAGCGAGCTATTTTAGTCGACTAATCACACTGCACCCGTCGATTGACAAAATGAAGCAACGAAGACAAAAGTCTACAAAGCCATTGACCCTGACGAAATACGCTTGTCCTTGTTAAAACACTTATGACCGGCGGGGGCAGATTTTCACCCAAAGGTGTTCAATTTGTCTCTGATCTCCCTAAAAATACCGTGCATGTGGAAAATGGGTAAGGTGGTACCGCAACTAAAACCATGTAAAACTACATAACAGCCCACATCTCTCCTATCCCCAATACCGAAGACTCTTGAGGCCTGCAGCTTCCACATACCATCCTGCGCAGTAGCATTGGGTCTGTCAAAAGCTTTTTACATCGTCAATCATTCGGTGCTACCATTAAGGAGATTAATTAATCCTCATAAGGATACCCACCTGAGTAGTCAACAAACGCCCGTTTCGACTGTGATTGCCACAAAACTCCACAGCCGTAACAAATCCTGAAAGTGTTAGCCAACAGCAGCTAGGGAAAAGACAAAGAAAACATAAAAATCAATTGCCCAGCCGATCGTAAATCGTGTTGTACCGATCTGGATTTCTGAGCACCTCAACAGATACTTGCCGAACCAATACCTAGACATATCAGAAGGGGCGTAGTTGATTTCAAGGGCTGCATTCAGCATCACCTATTGCAGACAGCTCGATCTGGGTATTGTAGTCGACTAAACTTCGACTTGGCACCGACATCCATCCATCCATTCATGCTCTACATGCAATGAGTTGCCGCACTATTCTAAAAACCTCTTTGTATGCACCCAAAATGCAGCTCATCTAGACCCCTTTCTGCTCTGGACCGTAATCGCCGAAACAGCTCATTTCCTGGACCTCCAGTTCGATGACTTAGACTTATTTTACTTGCTCCTAACCGGGGCTAGCGAGCTGCTACAGCAACAACAATGAATACGTAATTTCCATCCATTACAACCTAAGTCATTTGGTTGTAGACTTTCAGTTAAATTACAGCCAAATGACTTCAGGATTTTCTACTGCTGAAATATTGTATTGCAGATAATCATATTACGGTCATGCCGTGTCGAAGAATACTGGTTTTGAAATTATTCAGCGATATTTCGTTATCATATACTGAACAAGCTGCTAAAGCACTATTATTCGAAAATTTACTATTAGATGTTTACCCAATTCTATAATTGAGCACACTTTATTAATTTTTTTTAATCCTAGTATTATTTGCTAAATTGAATTTTTTTTTAGCATATACTACACCCTATTCGTTCGCAAAAATTATTCACTGCAGAGTTTTAGGCGCGCGCCATATACAAACCGATCACTGCTGATAATATTAACAGCTGTTCTAGGAATGATTAAATTCGCATTGAAAAAACAAAGAAAATAAAGAATGATAAAAAATTAACTAATACGAGTTATCTTAACAAAATGATCTAAGAGTGTCAATTCTTGTCGATGCTGCTGAAGGTTTTATTTATATATCCTTAAAAAAAAAAAAGAAAATTGTGTTTTCGTGTAACATAATGAATGTTGTGTGGTGCACCCGGCGGATATTTCAACGCCCTCGCCTCGGCAAATGTAATCAAATTTTTAAAATCGTAACCAAACAAATAACTACTACACCGATTCACCCAACACAAAACAGTTCCAACGAAAACACACTGCCAATACTCTATTCATATTGGCACAGTTCTTGTTCATGGCGAGTGCGCATTGCGCTGAATTTCAAAAATATATCATACGAAACGAGAGCAATTAACTTGCGGAAGCCAGAAGGCGATCAGCATACCAAAGAGTATAGCTCGGTCAATCCTATGCACCAAGTGCCAACGCTGGTAATCGGTGAGTACTTTGAATGCAAAATGATTTTTAAAAACTAATTTTTTATTTTTTTTGCATTCCAGATGGTCACACCATTATAGAATCTATTGCAATTATAAATTATTTGGAAGAGACGAGACCATTACCACCGCTTCTACCACGAGATACTTACAGCCGTGCGAAAGTTCGTGAAATTGTTGACATCATTGCTTCCGGTATACAACCGTTACAAAATCTAAAAGTGCAGAAATATATTGGGAAAGATAAGCGAAAAGAATGGGTGCAGCATTGGATCAATAGTGGCTTCGGTGCTCTGGAGAAAAGACTCTCCACTTCGGCAGGAAAATATTGTGTTGGCGATGAGTTTTCCTTGGCTGATTGCTGCCTGATGCCACAGGTTTTCAATGCTAAAAAGTGAGTAGATGTGATTGTATCAAGGATTTAGTTAAATATCTGTCTCGCGCCATGGTAAATGCCATATATAATATACTCTTTCCTATGGAAGGTTAGAACATTCTTACATTTCCATACATTTCATGAATAGGAAATAGTGAAAAATGTATAACGATCGGTCAGTATACCGGACTGAGTTGATTTAGCCGTGCCAGTCTGCCATCGAAATCGGAGGAGTACATCATATAAGTTCGTGCCCGATTCCGCTGGATGCCGTTCGAATCGTTTGAGAGTGGCGCTCGTGAAAGAAATATATACATATTATATATCGTTGGAAAGGTGACAGTCCGAACTGTAAATCAAGCATAAAATAACTTCATTTTGATTTGAGTTGCTTAGTGAAAAGACGCATGGAAGATGGACAACGAAAAAGATCATATGCGTCATATTATGTTATACGAATTCCGCAAAGGAAAAACAGTAGGCGCTGCAACTAAAGATATTCGCGAAGTTTATTTGGACCGTGCTCCAGCACTCCGCACAGTAAAGAAATGGTTCGCGAAATTTCGTTCTGGAGATTTTAACCTCGAAGATCAACTTCGCAGTGGACGGCCTTCTGAGCTTGATGACGATGTTCTAAGGACTTTAGTTGCGAATAACTCACGTATTTCGACGGAAGAGGTTACCAGTGAATTGAACGTCAACAAATCAATCAATTTTAGTTTGCACTTAAAATCGGGCACGAACTTATGCACTCATCCAATAGCTCCCATATAACCGATTTGTTCAGATATGTTTTTGGATACAAAATCCGTCAAAATGGCATCTAAAAAACGTGAAATATGCAAATTAACATTGACATCGATATCGAATTTTGCATTTTGCAATAAATTTGCTAAGTTCATTAAAAGCATAAAGACTTTTCGGACGACAGAATTTTTTGTTTGTTTTATATTTAATTTTCAAGTAAATAGAAATTTGGACACTTGGTGGTTGGGCACCAACTTTTCTTCTACCCAAATGTACTTAACTATAAAGTTGTTAATTGTTTTTTTTTTTCTTTTAGGTCCGAAATTGATATGCGTCAGTATCCAATTATTTCACGCATAGAAACTGAGTTGGAAGCAGTACCCGCCGTCATCGCTGCGCACCCACTGAACCAGCCTGACTGTCCAACTAAATAAATATAAAAAAAATGTATTAATTAAAATAAAATTTTTTTAATTTATATTATTTTAATTATAATTCTGCAAATAAAAGGAAGTAGGGTAAGTGTACCAAGGTTTTTTACAAAAGATAAGAATAATAAATTAAGAATTTCATACCAAAAATAAATGCATTCGATGTAAACATTAATTTATATTGTTATAAAAAGTTTCATTTTTATACACTTTCTCAACGTCTGTTTTTTTAAAGGATTTTCTTGGTGCTCCTATGGAGAAGTGTGAAGAAGCTACAGAAGAAAATGTAGCAAGCATCAGAGTATCTATATGGTTCTTCCCCAAAATCTTTTAAAGGAAAAATTACAAAGTTTCCTTACAAATTGGGTGCATAGTCATATCTAACGGAAAAGGTAGACATAAATATCTTCGTAAAAAATGTGACCCTTGGATGTGAACTATCAGGTGTACAACTTTGCCTCCGTCGTTTTTTTCCAAAATTAAAAACTTTATTGCGAAAAAGTGCTTACAGATATATTATTCAAAGTATTGTCCTTCGCTAGCGAAAACTTTCTCCTATCTTTCCGGCAATTTTCAGATCCCGGCTCGGAAAAAAGAGTCCTCTTTTGACGCTCTCCATGAAGCAATCCATTTTTCCAATTCTTCGAAGGATTGAATATGTTGATCTGCCAGGCCATGTGCCATCGAACGGAATAGGTGGAAGTTAGAAGGGGCAACATCTGGGGAATACGCCGGGTGGGATAAGACTTCGCATTTCAGCGTTTCCAGGTACTTTTTGACCACTTTTGCGACGTGAGGCCGAGCATTGTCGTGTTGGAGGATGACTTTGTCATGTCGCTCTTGATATTGTGGCCGCTTTTC